TTGGCATTGATTTGCCAGGATTAGTAAACTATTTAGAGAGGAAAGTCAAATAATTAACTTTCTAAGGTGCCGTCAGCCAGGGACATTCTTCCCCCACATCATTACCAGAATGTCAGGGAAGTTTGATTACCTGGGTCATCCACGGTTAGAGCACAGATACCTTTCTGCAGCCTCCCCTCCGAGTGTCTGATCATTACACAACTGTAATATACTGTATTGCACAAGTAGCTGTGACAGGTTTGGAACTCAAGATCGACCCTTCAAGGCCCCCCCCTCCCCCTAAGCTGCAAGGCCCCTTCTCCATGTGTTTAGAATTCTTATTAGTTTAAGCAGGGGTGTGGAATTCGTATCGCCCGACGCCCGGGACATGTAGCTCCGGGCGCTGGGCAAGTGCTTTTTTCGCTGTCTTAGCCCTGCTACGGACAAATAGCAGGGCTGGTTTTCTTTCCCTAAAATGAGCGCCGAGAGCAGCGCTTCGAGCGGGGGACGTGGAGCGCCGAGAGCGGATGGGCGGGGACGGAACGTGGAGCGCTGAGAGCGTGGGGCGGGGACAGAGGGTGAATCGTGTGAAGCGTTAAGAGCGGGGACAGAGCGTGAAGCGTTGAGCGCGGGGGGCGGGGACAGAGCAGGGGCGTGGAGTAGTGACAGGCTCTATCACCTCCCATAGCCTCTGTCCTCCGCGGCCGCTGCTCGTTCCTGTCAGACTCGCAGGAGTTCTAGCAACAGTGTTGTGCTAGAACACCTGTGTTGGAGGTGACAGGTTCAATAAAGAGTACCTGTCACCTCCAAATGCTATCATACAGGGGATTGTTAATCCCTGTGTGATAGCAATACAGTTAAGTTTTAAAAAAATAGTTAAAAGGAAAACATATTAAAAATGTAACTAAATAAAAATTAAAAAAATGAAAAAGGCAATAAAGTAAAAATAAAAAACAAATGAAATTTTTTTACAAAGTAAATAAGAATTGAAAAAATGAAAACCAGCCCCGCTGCCCCCATCTGCATGCGAATAAACGCGCAATGTTTTCAACTGCGATCGTGTGCAACCGCACGGGCAGGGCTGTATTGCAGTAGGAAAATGCGCAATCTGCCTGGCACAACTAGGTGCCATTAGAAAATAATGGCACTGGCAGCACAATCGGCAGTGGTGTGCGATCCGTGACTGCCCGGTCATTGTGCACAAAATTGAGCGGATGGCTGGGTGGTCACGGAATCGCACACCACCGCCGATCGTGCTGTCAGTGCCATTATTTTCTAATGGCCCCCCAGTAATGCCAAGCAGATTGCGCATTTACCTGCTGCAATACCGCCCGATCACACACAATCATAGTTGAAAACACTGCGCGGTGCATGTTGTGAAAATAGGTACAGTTACCTTTTTTTTTCAGCGATTGTCACGCAGATGTAACCCCATACATGTGGATGCAACCGCTGTATGCAACCACACACGATCGCACGTCCCCAAGTCTGCACCAACCCTAAAGGGTAAATTCACTTTCACAAGTAATTTGGGAAAATGGAATTACCCGCACAAATCTCCCTCCCACTATACTTACCTTTCAGCAAACGGTCCTTCCCTTCCACCAGTACAGGTGTACTATCTGTAACTGTTCCATGTATTCTGAATTTCGCTTGCAAATTTCAAGCACTCGTTGGTCAGCGCAGTCACCTGACAGCACTGACCAATGAGAAGCGCTTCTTAGCACCGCTAAATACGGTTTTGGTTAATATAATTTTTTTTGTATCAGGACAAGTAGATTGTCATGAGGGACAAGTAGATTCGGCCCCCGCTTTAGTCCTTGGACAAGTAGTTTTTTCAAAAATTTCCACACCCCTGTTAAGTACATTTAAAGAAACTTCCACTAGATTACAGTATTTCACATCACGTAACATTAATGTCCTGAAAAATGTACAGTCCAACCAGTTCAGAAGGTGAAAAATAGACTCCAAAAATGTTACATCTGAAATTACATCAGCAATCCTCAATATCGCTCCATTAATATACATGGACATTTGTGGGCAGTTAAATTAGAAACTTTACACAAGATGCTTGATGAGAACTGTGCCAGTATTCAATTTTCTGTGTTTTCATCTATTATATTTTTGCTAACTTTTGACAAAGCTAGAGCTCTCTTAAGGAGCAACAGAGCTGAAACAAAACAACAACAAAAATACAAATATGTGCATTTTAAGATAAAAGAACCAAAAACAAGAAAAGCGGGTTCAGAAAGGCAAGAAGAAAAGAGAAGTGCAAGAAATGTTTACATTTAGGAAGCAGCCCAGTTAAACTTTTGCCATAGCACAGTTTTTATAAATCAGACCCATCAGTATACATAAATTAAAGTTTTTTTTCTTGCATTTCAAGCACCAAAAGGATTGCTTTGAATTGCAGGTCCACCTAAGAATGTAACTGTTGGAGAGAACTGGATTACACAAACATTTGATAACCAGACACTGACATGGAAAAAAAAACTGGTCAGCCACTAAATTGGAATTAGTTCAACATAAAAAGAAAAAAACCCCAAACATTATTTTAGCCATTTAAATACTAGTGCACATGTTCACCCATTTACTGCATAGGATACAGGTCAAGTTTTCAATTAAACTGGATAACCTTTTCAAGACTGGGTTCACCTGATAAATATATTTTTATTCCTAAGTGTTTAAAACCGAATAAAGCACACTTGGAAACGCGTATCACGACAGAAGGAGTGACAGGAGGGCCAAGCTGGAACAATTTATGAATCCTGCAGGATTACATTGCAGAGGCCATTAAATGAGCTAATGGCATAGTGAGCACCGATGAGGCCTCTAGCATTGAAACTTGGCTCATGCAGAGAGCTAGGTTAGCATTTGGAGCTCTTGGGTAGAAATGTTCAATAAAATTTTATAGTTTTTTTCAAAACAGCATTTTTTTAAAGATAGTTTCCAGATGCTAATTCAATGCTGTGCCAATATTTATTCAGTTTACAGGCTAGTATTTAGCTTTAGATACGATGTTAAGTCATGATCAATCACATTCAATTATAACATCTATTTTTGTAAAAGCAGAAAAACATTTCAATTTGGAAAATGTTTTTTGCATGCTGAAGCAAATATTTAGACAAGTTGCTGACATCTTTATTATGTTTTAAAATGAAGAGCTTTGCAGATATTTGCCAGTCTCATTCCTTCTTTCTTTTAGGTATCAAATAAGTTACCTGGTTTAGGGCTGCACACTACAGTTCCCAGGCTACCAGATTTTAAAAACAGCACAGTTGTGCCCAGAAGATCTGGCACTGGAGCATCTGCCCCGTAAGACCTGGCACTTGAGCCCCTGCCCCGGAAGACCTGGCACTGGAGCCCCTGCTCCAGAAAACCTTGTACTGGAACTTTTGTCGAGAAAGACCTGATAGCGAGTCTCCACTCCAAGAAAACCTGGTAGTGTAGCTCCGGCACTGGGAAATCTGACAGTTCCTGCACTAAAGAATCTGGTACTTGAGGTCCAGTATGACATGGAAACCTCTGCACGGAATAACCTGGTAGAGAAGCTCCTGCCCAGGAAACCCTGGTAGTAGAGCTCCTGTCCAAAGAAACCTGGTAGCAGACCTACTAAAATCTGAAATGCATAGTATTTCTTGATAAACAGATTTGAGGCCACCTCCCCCCCCCTAGCAGTGTAAATAGTTGTAGGACAAAGGATTGTGGGCAAGACCCTCTAGTATTACTACAGGGAGTGAACAAAACAATACTCTTCTTTAAAATGATGCATTTGATTCATCAGACATTTAAAAACAATATACAGATATTACCCATTGCTGCCAACCAGGAAATTTAGATTGGAGAACCTGGAAGGCTTTGAAAACAAAGAACTGTACAGAGGTAAAACTCTGCTCAGCAATGAAACCAAAGCTAATAAGAGTTCTAAGGCAGAAGACTGAAGACATTCCTTTAGCAACCACAGTAATTAGCCAAAATTGAACTGTTACCATTCTAAGGCAGAAGGCCGTTTTACAGTATACGTACATGAACCTTTTTTTTTCCTTACAGCAAAAACAGCATAGAACTTAGCCAGCACTACACAGAATTCATGTAAGGGTTTGACAAAGCAGTAAGCATAAATCAATACGACAAATCTGTAAATGCAAAACAGAACATATCTAAATGCCTTGCTAAATAAAAAAAATCTAAATACAGTGTAAGACCTGTTCCTGTAAGGTCCCAGTTACACACTGCTCTGGTTCCATTTACCCAGCATCCAGAAACAACCCGAGATAATGAGATGCCTGCATAAAGTCAAATATGTGTAAATAAAAATTGGACTTTTGTACTCACCACAAAATCCTTTTCTCTGTGTTCAATGAAGGACACAGCAAAGATTGCTAGATCTTGACCACTGTTGGCAAATGGGTGGCAGTATAACGCAGTGGTCAAGATATAGCGTTCTTTACTGTGTCCTTTAATGAACGAAAGAGAAAAGGACATGATTTATACAACTTAAGCTTTAAGCAGCATTAGTGTGTTAAAAAAATTTGACTCAATATTGTGCAGCAATCTTCATTGCATTTATTTTTATTTGTTACACTGCTAAGTCATGAGAACATACCGAACAAATCTTTTCAACCTTTGTCAGCTTGCGTGAGCACAGAATATTCAAAATATATCTAAAGGATAGATACAAGACCAATACTAGACTAAGTATTGCATATTAGCAGTGAGATCACCCAGGAAAGAAGTTACTACTTATCTCCAAGTGTATATATAATACAGCATTTGGACAGCCAAGCAGGTACTGTTCGTGTACTGCTATGAGCACTGGGTAGCATACATTCAACATAAAGACAATCATGACAATCATGACAATCCAAAATCTGGGTGAAAAACATGTCTGCATTTTAGGCATGTAATAGAAAAGATCTAATAGATAACCCTTCAGAGGATAACCCAACATACCCCAACCATAAACATTGCTAAAACTGCCAAGAACCCTCATTAAGCATTAGCACAGTCAGCGTACTTACTATCTTCCTCTCGTAGAAGGCTCCGCTGCTGTATGTTGTAGAAAGGGTGGAGGCACACTCTTCCAGGTACCAAGGCTTGTAACCATTCTCTGTGGTGCTGCTTATGGAGATGGTGTAGACGCTGTTGGTATATCCATCACAGGAGCAGTAATCTCCTTCTCTACCACCGTTACCTGATGCCCAGACATAAATTGAGCCAAGCCCTTTACGCCCCTAAAACCAAAAACCAATAGAGCTTTTAAAACCATTTACTGGTCTACTTAAAGCATAGCTTAGAACTTTGAACAGTCTTATGTCTCACATGATGCATGCCCCCTGAAAAATGAGTAACGTAATGCAGAAAATTGTAAAGGAAATCTCACCGCTCCAATTTCTTAGCCGCCATCAGGACTCCTCAGGTGCTGGTCTAATAGGAGTGTCTCCACCTTGGAATGTAGTAGTATGCGAACAGACCACACTATCCAGAAAATTCCAATACTACAGACTTTATTGAAATTCACAGCAAATCCAGTATAACAGTGGATAAAGGTGTATAAGACCGCAAATACTTAAGTGAAATACTGGTCTGTATTTGTTACCTCTATGAATAAGCCTACAGGTGAAACACGTAAGAGTTTGTAGCTGTTTTGGGGCTAGGCGGTGCTGGTATTTGCTGTTTTATACACCTTTATCCACTGTTACACTGGATTTGCTGTGAATTTCAATAAAGTCTGTAGTATTGGAATTCTCTGGATAGTGCGGTCTGTTTGTATACTACATAATGCAGAAATTACTGCAAAAGTCCCTATCAGAGGCACAAAATGTCTGAACCTGAAGGGCAAAATGACCATAAACAAAAATTCAGTAATTTGTATTAAACATAACACCAATTTTAAAATATATACCATAACCTGCCAAGTACCTAGAAGTGGCTACCTTTATAGTGATTTTTTAAAATCCTAAATAATAAAGGCTGAACTTTAAAATGACCACAAGAAACACAGCCTATCTGCTTAAGGCTTCAGTTTATCATGTAGATACAGGTCATTAGTGGAGCCCCCTCTCTAGGCACTAGTCTGGATATTTAGGAGCCCCGTTTGTTTACCAATGCAGAAGTAACATTTCCAAAAAAACATCCACCACAGATATCCATTTTATTCACATGCTAAATTGTAGTGATAAACCTGAATGGTGATGCATCAAAACACAATGGCAAGTTACCCAGCATAAATTTAGGAAAAAGAACTGCCCTACTGACATGTAGGGGAGTTGTGTGGCTGCAATGGATTACAGAGAATAAAGAAACTGCATGAACCTTCACATTGCAGTGTTTGCTGGCTAGCAATAACAGGCTACAAATGGTTTTCACTTGTTTGGAACCTCTCTTAAAAGGTATTACAAAAACAAAAAAACATGCTACATTAGAAGACATGACTTAAAATTAATATGACATGTGCCATATAAACAGGAACCCAAAACAATAATCCTTGAAACATGGCTTTGTTTCTCATGAGCTGCTCCTGCGTCAGAGGACAAAACATGTAGGGCGTGGATGTGACTTTTCCTTGAGGGTGCATTCACACCAAAATGGGAGCTAAAAAGTCAACAGAGGTACATTAACTTGAGTTTGCATAGTGCATCGACATCTGTTGAGTTTTTTTAGTTTGATTTTTACACCAAGCGATATAAAAAGGTATTGGTTTTGCCTTGTGTTAACATTTGTTACCAGTTCACACCAGTACTGCGTTGGAAAAAATGTAGAGCCTGCTTTCCTTTTTCAGTGAACTGTTCCCATTCATTTTCAGATTTCTTTGCGTTGGCATCTCTGTACAGTTCCCAGTGGCTAATTAGGAGGTTGATTCACTACAAATTGTTCAGTACAGTAGTAACTATGTATTCATCCACAAATATTTGTTATGCTTTACAAGTTATCCATAGTCTCTCTAGCAGAGTCATTAGCAAAGGATGCACATGTGGAAACATCGAGCTCCAGTAGCTGTGAGCCAGGACAATGCTGGACATATACTAGTCTCACACAGCTGTGACTGTGTTCTCCTCCGAGAAATAAACTTAAGGGAATATTCTGATGACTTCTCTCATATTTAGGCTTGTAGCCAGCACGGGCACCTCCCCTTCGTGCCTTATCACATTTACAGAGCATGTGTCTAAATTGTCAGCTGCACCCACACCCTTACCACAAGGACCCGTGTAATAGAAAATCTGGTTTCATTACATCATACCACAACAGAAACAGAAGACAAGCAAACTGGGACTCTTGCTGCACACAATTATAAATGTGCGTTTTGCATCTAAAACGCAGCCAATATGTAACACTAGGCTGACAAATGCCGACAGTCCTTAAACTTTTTTGGCCAACTATTTAAAATATATTTCATAATGAAATCACATTGGAGAACACACAGAGGGCAATGCATTTCCTGAATATGTATAGGAGGACAATAAAAACGTGAAATTGTAAATTAGGCAGTGAATAGATGAGATATGGAGGTAAATAAACATCAATGTATTAAACGCTCAAATTTTTTTTTTTTCAGTAATGAATCCAGATCATACAAATATACACCGCCCAGCAAAGTATTGAATTTACATTGTTGTCCAAACACTTAGTCATCTTGTTTCTGCTTCTACTCTCCGAGCTCAGATCACAAGGGAGAGCAGTCTCCAGGCAGCTGTCCATCGACTAGCTTTGAGAAGGCAGAAGGGAGCAGGGATGTGGCTTGCCTTGCTGTGTCTGTGGAGACACACAAGGATAGCTCCACAGGATCCTACAATGGAAAGGAGCCACCGTAAACAGGACCAGTGTTGAGGGGACCAGATGATTCTACAGGAAGCTAACATTTTTAGCCATCAAGAAGTAGCATCCATTGTAAGAGATTTCATTATTTGAAATAGCCTAAAAGCCCTTTTCAATTTAATATCACTTTAACCTATCAATAAGAACCAGATTGGCTTGTTCCGGAGCACCTACAGTCAGGGTTGGACTGTCCACAATGGAGCATATAGGCACAGCAAACTTTAGAACCCTAAGAAACAATCCTCCGCTACGATCACCCCTTTTATATAGAACTTTTTCTGGTTTTACTCAAAATAATACCTGGACTAAAATATAGTCACATGGTTAATTTCTTAGATAGCTTTATAGGACGATGGTCATACTATGCGGTGACTTTAAATCCACTAAGGGCTGAAAAAAAGAAAATTAAAACTACAAATCTAGGAAAAGCTGCCTCTGTTATCCAACATTACAAGCTTACTCTGTGCCTAAATATTAACCTTGTCTGTAAAGCTGGAAAGTAAGCTGCTGAGAGGGGGGGGGGCTAAGAGGGTAATTACCCACTAAGTATTCAATAGCACTACCACCACTGATCAACTTCAAAAAAAAGTAAAATCGTTCCATGAAATGCTAATGCTGTATATATTGTCATTACATTAAAATGGCCACTCACTAACTTTAATGAGTAGCAAAGTAAAAAAAAAAAACCCCCCACAAAATTTAATGAGTAAGAAAAAAAAAAAAAAAAAAAAAAAAAAAATGTATATATCGCCCAGAAAAAGGAAATAATTGGAATGCAGGGAGTGTACTACAAAAAAGCAATAGGCAAGAGTAATAGATAAAGGTCTGTAATGAAGTTTGCCAATTCCTTGCAAAGTATTTAACACATAGAAATTAATGTTCTTTCCTAAGGAAAAGTTCAGGCTCACTTCAATTTGCCTTTTTAAAACCCAATACCAAGCAGATTTAGGAAGAATCAGGGGGTAGGGCTAAACTTTATGTTCAAACTTATTAATGCATTAAATGTATTTTATTTGTGTATCACTCGGCTGTAGATTCTCAAATCATCTCTGAACTGGTACGGACACTGTCCTTCCTTCTGGAGGGGGGCTACTTGTGTTCCCCATGGTCCCTGTGTGTGATGTAAAGTAGTCACCGCTCCAAGCTCATTCCCGAGATTAAATATAATCTCACTTTTAGTTTACGAACTTGTACTGAGATTTGTAGTCCATCACATGAGCGAGCTTGGAGCGGTGGCTCCTTTGCAACGCACACTGGAACCATGGGGAACAAAAGTATCCACCCTCCAGAAGGAAGGTGCAGATTCAGGGAGGATTTGAAGATCTCCAGCTGAGTGATGCACAAATAAAAAATATTTTTGGTAATAGTTAAGGTACTTGAATGCTGATGCATAAAACAAAACATAGGAGCCACGTTTAACAATGACAAGCAAGTGTAGCACCCTCTAAGGGGGAGTGCTTAGTAAATTTAGTATCGTCAGATTGTAAGCAGCCTGATGCTGATATGTAGTCCATGCTCATATTGTTTGCCCTAATTAGTCTGTCATCTTTTGCATCTGCCTGCTGCTCGGCGTACCCTGGCCACAGGGCAGAACCACCAATGAGACTGTTATGAGTTGTATGTTTCCATAGCCAATCACTAGGAGGTTGATGGCCAGTGGTGCATGCTGGGAGAGGAGATAGGGTCTTTGAGGTCCAGTGGCTAATACTGAAACCAAACATGAGGATGACTAATGATTCCTGATTCAAGTGCTGCTTTGCCAAGTGCTCTTCTAACAGACAGCCATGTCTGACTCCTAGTCTGTGATGGATGCAGTTTCTCTATCATACCATTCAAAGGAGTCTACACCAGCCTGGTAGATCCTGACTATCAACCTCTCTCCCTAAAGTTCATTAATAAAATTCCTTAGCATCATATCTATAGTCTGGACCTTGCTTTTATCACTCACCATAGAGGGTGGTAAGTGGTTAGTTTGAATCTGGATAACCCTAGACATGGCAATGATGGATGGTTCTACTATTTTCTGTGGCTCCTTAAGGGGGGTCCGCTACACAAGTATTTAGCATACCATTTTATAATGCATCCTGCCATAATTTGTGTGTAGAGCTCAGCTTTAATCTTGAAGAAAACTAACAAATCTTCAAATGCAAAGTACTCAAGTGACCGAAAGATAAAGATATCACAGATTCACTTTTCTGCTTGAACAAAAACCAAGCCAGAACATAAATGAAGCCAAGTGAATTACCTTCTTAATGCCTTCTTCAAAGGCTTTTTTGGCCAAAGGTCCAGGGCCATCCACAGTCTTCCCATCATCATCAGGGCCCCAGCTTGCACTGTAAATGTCAATGTAGTCAGGCCGGATGCCGAGGGACTTCGCTTCAACGACATCCGTCACGTCCCCATCTAGCATGCGGATTCCTGAAAAAAGATGAAAATGCACAAATAGCTAAATCACACTAAATATGACATCGATCTATAATCAAGTTGCAATCAAATCAAGTAGCTAATACTGTTTAAGACAAAGATCAAGTGAAGTGTCAGCAATAAATGAGCAAAGCACATATGGTTACACTTTGAATTATTAGAGATCACTTTCAATTCTACGCTGGAGCTAAAGCTCAAAAGTAACAACTTGTGAAATTTAAGTAGCAGTGTCTTCTGACCGCAGAACCACAGTTTTATTAACTAAGAGCCAAGGATCGCTGTTAAATTTGTACCCAAAGCAGATATTTGCAGTTTTGTATCATATAGCCAGCATCTCCCTTCATACAAATAACAAGAACTTCCAATCTAATTAGGAAGCCAGACAATTAAGCAGTTCTACTCATTTAGCCGGTCAATGTGTTCTTGCTTGGTCACTGGAGAAGCCTCTCTTTGCTACTTCAATCATCCAACCACAAAACCACTCTTGTTTTCTTGCGCATACCAACAGATTTTTATTGCCTCGCTGCTGTGTCTAAATGTCCTGTATATAAACTATGCATGCATTTCTATTAAATGAGCTCTGGTTAGAAGACAGCTGTTGTACAGGGAAATCATTAGGTGCAAACAAGAAGAGCAAAGAACATTCTAGACAAAAGTAACTAAAGAGTAATTCTAGAGAAGAAAGCATATTTTTCAAATATAGTCAATGTTACAATACTGTAATGTACAGAATTTAAAGCTGACCCCGATTGTGATGACCCTGTGCTGTCTGTGAAGCAGAGTGTTTTTCGGAGGGACTAATTTCCTCTCCTTTCTGGGGGTATTGTTTGAAAGGAGAGGAAATTAGTCCCTCCGAGGAGGGGTGAAATACCTTAACCACAGCATACAAAACCAAATCGGCCTCAGGCTACAAATCAATCCTATTCTACTTTATGGAGTAAGTAATATTCAGTGATTTACCTAGACATTTTGCCAGTGGTAGGAGGGGGAAAGTTAGGGGGTGGTGGTGTACGCCACCCTCTGCAGATCCACATCTACAAAGCCTGGGCAACCAGTGACGTTCCTGGTTGCCAGGAGCTGGGCGGACACCAGCCAGAGCGTCCCAGGTTGCTAAGAGCTGGGTAGGGGAGATGTGTAAAAGCAATACACATCTACCAGCCTGACTCTTTGCAACCTGGGAACGCTATGGCCACAAAGGGGGCGGCAGGCACACTGCAAACATTGTGCAGTAGGGCGTCCATGCCGCTCTGCCTGCTGCCCCTGCCACGTGACCCAAAGAGATGCCGCTTGAGCCAATAACCTCCCTCATTAAAGTGACAGCCCTGGTGCCATCATTGTGATATCTCAGCCTCCTTCCCTAAAATACAACACATCCAGGAGGATCTCAAATTCGGGAGAAATTTAGCAACTTTCCACAGGCCCTTACAGTGAGTTAAACCTTAAAAATACATTTACAAGTACCTTAACTATTAACAAAAATGTATCTTATGTAAAGAGGACATCAAGGCTGGGTCCTGGAAGGCAGGTATATCTCACCGCCGTTTGGGTTGTAGTCCCTCTAAGGGCCAGAGGGAAAACCTTCCTGCCACAGGAAGGGTTTTCAAAACTCTGCAACTCCAGAGAGGAGTGTGGGAGTAGTAAGGAGAAAAGGTGTCAGCTGTGACTAGTGCTTGAGACCTGCTGTGTTGCCGTGACTCAGGACTGATTACTGGGAAGGGATTTTGCCAAGCCTGAAAAATGTTTCCTCATTTGTGCCGAAGATACGGACTTTACTTTGAGTTTTTGCTGAGAAGAAGCTTATATATTTGTCTTTCCAGTTTTGACTGCTCTGAAGAGGAAAAATAAAAGTTTTTGTTTGTGGAAAAACCTGTGCAACCCCTCACACACATCTTCTGGTCCTGCCCCCCCGCGTATAACCCTTCTGGCAAAAGGTGTATGAGGCTGTCTATAAGATTACAGGAGCCACACTTCCTTTCACACTTACGCATTCCCTTCCCCACTGGGAACCTGGCAAACCTATGGGCGCATTCAAATCACAACCCAGACACCTCATTAATGCTGCGCGCACAATCATCCCCCGCCACTGGCAGACAGACGACGCACCCAGTATCCGCGAATGGCTTGCAGTTTGGCCACGTCTACGAAATGGAGGAGATCCTGGCCACCAAACAAAATAGTTTCTGAACGCTATGGGCTTGCTGGACCTACTTTGCCAGTACTGCTGACTTCACTACACTGAGCCGCCTTCCAGCTATACACAATTACTATCCCCAGACCATCCCCCATTGTCCACCGCATCTAACACTATAA